ATTGGCGATAACGTAGCACAACCAAGAACAACTGAAGCTGTTAAGCCAAGAAAAGTGGCACTTTCAGCACAATTAAATAACGCTAACAATTTTACAGATAATTTCCCTGACTCAAGAAATGATGACGATGAATATGAGGAGGATTATAATGATGAAGTTGGTGATGATGATGATAAATATAATGATGGTAATGATAATGATGAATCTAATGATAATGATAATGATCAGGCCGAGCTTGATGAATTAATGAGTTTATCATCTGATCCAAGGGTTCAGAGAAAGGTAATATATTATATATTTTATTACTTTATCATCATTATTATAATAACACCATCCTAGGTGTGATATATATATTCGGAATCAAGTCAAATATATGGAAGCCACAATTTTCAGGCTTTGGCCATTCTTTTAAAATCATAAGCTTTTGATAATTAAATGATGGACCGAAATCAATTTATATTAGGTAGCTAGCTATTGAGCAATATAGTCTCAAATATAAGAATGTCAAGTTAAGCAAGAAGATCTCTCAACAAAATAAAGCATCAAACCTAATAGTAAAACTGTATTATTATTGAAACTTCCGTTTTTATATTTTCAAAAGAACTATAATTGTTGTTTCTGTGGTGGAGGGTAGATTTCAAAACCGTCCATCAATCAAATATCACGCTCCATGTGAGACTACTACTACCAATCAATTGCTCCCTTAAACTGGTGGTGGTAACTAATTAGAATATTTCTATTAAATCAAAGAAATTCAATAGAAGTTAAAGCTATATTTTTGATAATATACAAAAGTCAATGATATCCGTATTTTCTTTTTTTTTTTTTGATTCGTTTTTTAATTAGGTGCTTCTACTGTCCTACATTCCAAGGATTTTACAACTGTGATCACAATTTAACTATATTAACTAAGCTAACTACATTTTTTAGGACGTTTATGCCCCTTGTATCTCTGTCTTTAGGAAGATCTATCTATGTTTGATTGTCAAGCCATATAAAGTTTATTCGATACATGATATAAAAGAAAGTTCTTTTCTGCTAAAAATATCCTTATACGAAAAGTCATAATATATAATAATGTTAATGTGTTATTTTCACTCGTTTCCTCTGTATTCTATGTATTTCCTTGTTTGTATTTGAAGATGTGCTTGAATACGCACTTGAATGAAATGAAGGATTGAAATATTCCCGATGATCAAAAAAATATTTATTTTTGATCGTCCAAGTTGCATTATTTAGATTTGCTACTCAATGAAAAGTCAGTAGAACCTTCTACTAATAGACTAACTGAATCCTTTTATCAAAACAGCCTGCTATCTTGGCGAGAAGAATTGTTTTCGGGAGCCAAAAAAATTCTATACCTATTATTATCAAAATTTTTATATTTAGTTGATTGCAACCACTCCAACCTATTATGTAATATTAAATCATGAATATTTTTCACCGTCTTGGCTCAATATTATCCGGTTTAATGCTTCGAATTTAATAAAAGATTCATTTGTTATTATGCCATTTTGTCAGTCCGTTAACGGAAATATTCCAAGTATTGCCAGTGTAACTAACTGCCCGAACTGTTTTCATTCTTTAAATAGATTATAAGATCAAATCCTAATAATATATTTTATGCCAATTCATTTTGTTGGATCTTCAATGCGATGCTTGGCGTATAAGCTTGGAAGTCTCATTTTTTTGTTTTAGCTCTCGTAACCAAACAACCATATTACCTGTATTGATATAAAGTTCGTCGTTCTGAATTCTTTTTGCCTTATTTAATTTTGCATACGTTAAAAGTAACGAGCATATAAAGCCTTTATTAATTCTTTATACGGTTTAATCATTACCTGATATAATATAATGCTCATTAATCAATGTCGTCTTTGACCTTTAAAATGCTAAATGGACAACGTTCACAAATCTTCATAGAAAATTCTTAATAATAAATAGAAGCAATCAATTTTCTTCTTCCTCGATAGAAAAAAAATTTTAGAGGTTAGTATATTTTAGATGAATTTAAGGGGGGAAAAATTTTTTTTTTGATTTGATCATCAATTTGTCAAAAACAAATTAAAACAACGAAAGATTTGAATGCAAGATGCAATTTCTTTTACTCGAAGTTCTGAAGTTTATGGAACTATCCCATATTTTTTTAATTATAAACCATATACAAAGGAATCAATATTTTTTGACTTGGGTCAGAATCAAGTCTTTTCCTGCTGATATTTATAGTTTTGGAATGATAATGTGTGGCAAGTATATTCCACAATGGAGGAAAAGACCTAAAATTACCAAAGACACAGGCTCCTTCTAATTTCTATATGCAG